CGCTAAAACGACTGCTTTCTGTTTAGCCTGTGTAAAATACGTCGACAATGTATTATGCAAAACAGTCGGTAATGACAATCAATGGATTATGAATTAAAGTTTAGCATTATTCTTTCATCGGACTTGTCCTAATTTGTGAATGTACTACTGTCAATGCTCTTCCACCTATCTTGAGTGTTTTTTTTCTTTGAGGATGGTTTTTCGACAGTCCATTCAGCACGGCTACCCTCGTTAACTCTTGTCAAAGCCATTCTGACATTCGTTTGATCAGACGTCACAAATTTTCGTTGCGCTGCCATTTAAGCTCTGCTACCTTCTGATGACAATGACAAAAAAATCCACCCCTGGAATTTACAGAAGCAAACCGCTTTCTGGGGTTCTGGTCAATTACAAACGTGTTTGATGATTTCCGGATGATGTCCTCTTAACCTGCCGAAGCCGATTTTTATATTAATTCCTGTTTTATTATAGGAAGGGTTTCATCATATAAAAGTACGTTTGCTGTAAACACTACAATTTACTATTCGTCGAAGCTGAAGCTACTGGTTAGAGGACGATATGATGCTCAACAGTGATCCACTCTTTTTTGTCACGTAAAATCAGAGTGGCACAAATGACGTTCGCTTGTTCTTTTCTGTATAATGCCAATCTGTTCGATTCATCCGGTTCTTTGAGAAGTTAGTTTTTCTGCTGCTCCCAAGCTTCCATCTGAAGTCGTGTCTAAAATGCCTCTCTACTGAGTATAAACGAATCAGCAAACGAGCTGTATCGACTCAAGAAGCATTCGTAATTTCGAAATGACTTCCAGGTCAACCCCTCATCAAATCGATCTTGCTGGAACAAACCCATTACGACTGCAGCCAACGTCTTCGAACGGGTCTTTTCAGAAACTTTCTTATCCAGATCGCTGAAAGTGTCATAGATTGAACGACCATGGGCTCGCAATGCCAAGACATTGGCAAAATTCCAAAATGGAATCGCAAGGTCAAAGCAATGGAAGCAGACCCCAGGGCCGTTTCTTTGGTACCTTTCGAAATTGAGAAATGCGAGACGGGAGGTTGCGAGGACTAGGCTTTACTCGAGTTTTAATGAACACGCTATTGGACGCCGAGCACGCTGACCATTCCGTGTAAACTTTGAGAAATGCATGAGTTTTGGCACTTGACTGATAAACTAGCAAAAATTGCAAGACCAGATTTGGTATCATTAATGCTGAATTGTTGTCGTGTGCATTCATAGAAAATATCAATATGAAATGTTGTTGAAGTCTGGTCGCCATTGTACCGTTAGAGACAGTTATGCAGTTCATAAATACATGTTGTATGATTTTTAACTTTTATTGAGCCTTTGAGGGCTAACTTGGTACCTGATTTTAGATGTGTCTTGGAGGAGGCTTTTATATGCGAAGCGGTACTCTGTTCGAAGACCTTGGTCTGAGCGTTGGGGAGAATTTTTCAATGGTGACTGTCTATAGCCGATATAAACAACAGGCTTATAACTGCTGGATAACCGCCTGTTTGCTCCTCTTCACTGCAGTTGCCAGTTTCTTACGACTCCGGTCAGTTCAGTGGAATTGAGTTACCGCATACCTGGATATTACGCAAACGGCTGATTGACGATCGAGATTGCTAGTTGGCTCCGAAAAATTCTGAAGCCTGCCCATGATTTCGGTTTGCAAGTTGGAAGCTCTTTTGTTTTTAATGGAACCAATGCTGCATAAAGCTTTTTTTAAATGCCGAAAGTATGTTCGTAACGTTAATACACAGCAAAAGCAACTGAACTCATAAGACAGTAATGCAAAATTTGAATGTCTCTGCCAGTACATAAAATCTCTTTATTCGTTGTTGAAGGCTGCAAGTAACGCCAATTATAAGAAGGCATGAATAGTCGAGAATAAATTCTGAGGCATGCTTTGAGTTATTACTCTGAAATGAACAACGATATCCCTATTGCGGAATTGAATCATTGCAAATTTTTCATTATATGTTTGTGGGTACTTTAGCAGCTGGTTTCTACTGCCTTTGCAACTCTGTCTACGTTCCTTTTAATTGTTTGGAATTTTGTTTTTTTATCAATCATCTTAGTAGGATCAATTCATGTTCAGTGACTCTTTTAGAACAAGTTCTTTTGCAGATAATTAAAAATGATGAAAAATGTGCTTTGGTCTTTGCAGGAAAAATGCTGAAGCAAAGGGAGAATCGTGGATGAAACTTTTTCAGGAAAAATTAATGATCTACGATTATAATCTAGAAAACATGTGACATGACAGCACCACATCGTGCTCTTTCTTGAATGAGCAACAGAAATACTATCGCTTAGCCAAATTGGTGCTTAGAGTATTTCTTCTCAGGTTGATTTGCTTTCCAAACACTGAGATTTTTTTAATTTCCTACTACCACGGCCAATAAGCCAATCAGATTTCATTTTATAGCAATCTTTAACAATAACCATGAAGTTTCGAGAATTAACATTCGTATTACTTGCTTGGCCTCAATCACACGAAGAGTTCGGAGTACTAATTAAGTTTGAACTCCGCCATCACCGATCCCAAACCAGGATGATAAAGGAACAAAATTGAAGACTATCACAAAGCTTCCCGCACAACCTATACACCTTATATTCATGTCGTTGACGCTATCGAAGATTAGGCCGTCGCCACGGCTAACAAAGGCCGCAAGGCGGTGAGGAGACGAGGCAGACTGCGAGGAGTCATCGATCAGAACCTGCTTCACGTCTTCTGGAAACATAGTGCACAGCAGCCCCGCGACAGCTGCAGAAGATATAGATCGAAGTTGACAGAGACAAGCTTGCAGCAAAGTCGCTACCTCTTCTGAAAGGAAAAGGCAGCTACAACAATGCCATTATGACACTTTAGACAATGTTACAGGGAAAGATATCGACGCTGAAAGCTCACAGCGAAAATTGGAATATCACTTCACTCAGAGAGAAGATCCAGAGCTAGTTGATGATGCCATTAGGTGCCAACTGAATATAGTTGGACCATCGTAAACTAAGCGCCATGTCTCTGGAATTCTGAATTTTTGAGGGTTGAAGTTATTTTCTACATGCATTGACTCTACAGCCCGCGGTCAGGCCAGTGATAATGTCCTGGCAAAATCCAATCTGGCAAAAAGAGACATTACATGGAAACCTTTCAGCAAAAGAATGGCCACCCTGGGCCTGAAGTTGCAATAGGCGAATGCTTTCACCTTCCAACAGGAATTTAGATTTGGAATTTGGAAGTAAAATATGAGTCCTTACTACATGAAACGGATGCTGCTCTATATGATGAGATAGCTGCGGAATCCATGATTCTGACTGGCGACTTCAATGCACACGTCAGAGCAGGCACTGAGAAGTGAAAAGGCAGGATTATGAAGAACGACCTAACAGTTACTGTAAGAAATTGCTGCGCTTCTCTGCAAATGAGAGGAAGTCTATTATGAACAACTTTTAGGAGTATCAAAATTTAATCATGGACTATCAGATCATTCGCCGTTCATCTTTATTCCAATCCTTTCCAGACACAGAAGAATGTATATATACACTTTTGGTGCGAAAATAAAATTCTGCATCCATTTGCGATGTATTGTATTGCAAATGATATTGGTTAACTATTTTAATAAGTCATCACAAAGCATGAACAATGTCCCAGAGAACACGAAAGACGGATGACCGCGTCTAAAATTAACGCCGGGTGAGCCGCGCTACGATGCGCGAAAGCACTAACAGCGTGCAAACAGTTGCTACAGATATATGACAAAGCTGAAGTGCTCGTAACACTTTTACGAGTAGTCAGTGTTCCTCGAAAAAAGTTCATAGGGGATGTAGGCACTGACTTTTTTGGATTTAAGCTTAAAAATATTTATTTAAATGCAAATTTCATTTTACTATTTCAATCGCATAATTCAGATTCAGGGGAGTGTGATGCAGCTGTTAAATCCGGAATAAGATCAGCAATGGCCTAGAATCTAAAGTTGGCAAGCCACTTTTGGAAAAGGTAAAATTTAGAGTGATTGCCCT